ACCGTTAGGCTGTTTTACGCCATATTCACAAGCACTAGCCGCATCATCCATAGCGTCACCTAGGACGCAACCACGTTGTGTTGCCAGTAACTTCCATATGAGGCTTTGAGCGTCAGTGTAGCTGCCGCCATTGTGCTGAGCAGTTGCTGTGTCATTCGTCCTGTGCTACATGTGCTGGAGGTGGTCCACAAACATTTTTTGATTGGCCTGGTGGCCTGTGGACTGAAACGAGTTGAGAACCACTTTTCTAAACCATGACTCATGGTACCCTACTCTAGACCATTACCTGTTAATGCTCCATGGTCCTAGTGAGGATCCTAGTCTTCTCAGAGCAGCTATAGCCAAAGGGAACAAACAGCACTGCCAGAAGGTTATTTCACACACAGTATTGGCTTCACAAACCTTTTAGTCACTCCTCCTGGCTCTGCTCTAATCACAGGTAGAGAAGAAATGAGAGAACAGGCCCAGAGTGTCACCTCCCAGTCTTTGTGACCCTAATCTCCCTGCTCCCAATGATGCTGTAATGCGACAGATGGACCCAGAGTCGGATGATTGCAAAGGTTTCCAAGACTTATTACAAAGGGTGGCTGGAGCCCTCTAAATCCCTTTTGGTGAAGTACAGGAGCAGACACTTCAATGGACATACTCTTACATAATTAACTGTGCTTATAGAAAGAAAAGGAAGATATAGAAAGATATAGAATACCATTTAATTTAAATGGTATTTAGAAGAAAATCTTGCATCCCTGAATTGATTAGGAAGGCACAAGAGATACAAACTTGACAACAGTTTGGCCACTGCCTCCTTTGCTGATCATTATTGCTTTATTATCCCTTAGTGCTATCCTGTCTGTATCCTTCTGTTGTTTGCCTAGTACATAGATTGTAAACTCTTTGGAGCAAGGACTTTGTTTTGACTCTTTGTTCAGCACCTGTCAGTGGGATCCTGGTTTATGCCTTGGTTCTACAGTCATACAAATAAATAATGACACTATCTGTAGAGGGCGATTTTTTTTTGTTGGCAAATTAGGTGGTTGACACTTGTTACCTAATGTCTTGGCCCTTTAACTTTTTCTGGGGCCTTGTTTTAGAGGTGCGGATCAACAGCAAATAGCGATTTTTTAAAATTACAAGCATCTATTAATTGTGTGGTTGATAGCTAATAAGACCTGATTTAATCATGAATGAGGATGCCAATTGACGCCTGTCTGAGTGACTCTTTAGTGGCTCAACTATGACTGGTTAGATATTTGCTGTCTTGTGAGTATAGAAAGGATCAGAGAGAAGGTATGACTGATATTTTTCCATCTAATTTTAGGTGTAGGAGATTTTCAGAGATGTATTCACTTAAGTGTGCCTACCTTCTGCATACTTGGATTAAATGTTACAGAATAGGCTGCTAGTCAGAATTACTACCTGTGAGCTCTTGTCAGATCTGATATTGGAATGAGCTTCACTTGGGATCTTGTGTCCTCTGTGGCAACTTTTCAAGTACTTTGTATGAGAATTACAATACTTGAACTTTTAAAAACCCCAAAACAAACTCTAAACAATCTAAAGTTTTGACAAGTTAGATTATTAACTCCTTTTGGATCAACTCAATACCTTTTCTATTTTGAATGTACTGCAATCATAGTATATTTGTTTTTGTTGTCTGCACTGAAATTGCTGGACCCCTGAGGTTCCAGAATGTTCTGAGCAGCTTTACAGCTAAGTTACTGGGACAGCCTGTAACTCTGTCTCATAAACTATCATTCATAAAAGGATATTTGGATATCTCCTTTTTTGCCATATTTTTAGATGTCAGAGGAGTAGGCTACATAATTTAATTTAAATTCTGTTAAATTTGTTAAATCTAATTACTAGCTTTATAAAGCTACATTATTTTATGTAACTTTGAGTCTTTACAGATTTAAAGATGAATGATTCTTGTTTTCCGTTTCTGTGACTGAGACGTAACACTTAAAACATAAAACTGAGATACACTCAATACTATTTGAGAAAAATGTTAGTTAATATGCATTTGGTGAATACTATGGAAACATTTGATGAATAATTATATTTAGAAATTATTCTATACAGTTTGTATTTTATGTTCCCTTCTAAATCAAAGTCAGAGGGTGCTCCCGTTGGTGACTAGTAATCCTGCTTCTGCGAGGAATAAGGGAAGGCCCCCTTGTCAGCCTCACGCTGTGGGAACACCGGGAAAATTTGATTAAGGTATTTTGACTCCAGCTACGTAATGAATGTAGCTGGAGTTGCATATCTGAATGTGTCCTTTCCCTTTAGTATCGACCTGGCCTTAGTTCATGAGCTCATAAGTACTTTTTCTTTGCACCATATCTGATCTGCTACTATTATTATCATTTTCTAATATTATCTCTCCTCTCCCCCAATAATTGTGACATCATAAAAGGAGATTGCTGCTTGAGATAGGAAATCAGCAGCAGGAGTATATTAAATACCAAGGAAACAAACAATTAGTGTTCATGTAAATGTATTTCACTTTTGGCAGGATGTTTGTTGGTGATAGGAGAGAGGGAAAAAAGTACCAACTCATACTTAACTGTTTTTTCAGTTTTCCATGAAGCACCTGGACCAACAAATATAGACTGTTATGCTGGCTTAATACAGTGTGCACTTTTTCAGGTTTAAAGAACAAAAATTAAAATATTAAAGTACAATTTCAGGGAAGTTGTTGACCAAAATTCTTGTATTGATGTTTAATATTTAATTTAGATTTTGAAATGTGAATGAGTAATTTTACTTTCACATCCAACACTATATGAATGTTTAATATTTCTTTAACTTTTTTGCTAGCTTTTGTTAATGCATAAGTAAGCTACATTATTTTGTGTTTCTTTTTCTGTTTAATTTACGTTTGCAAGTATTTTTTCTCTTTTAGCACTGCATGACAAGAGTATATAGTTCTATTGGAGATTTACATGTCCAATATATTGTTTTCAAACCATTAAAATTTTCATATTTTTCCACTTCAATTCATTATTTCTTGTTAATATGTTTTCATTTAATTTATGGAAAAAATAGAGGGTGCCCATCAAGGTTCCCTGTAAGCTGTGTGGCTGCATGACCGCACAGCTGTTTCCTGAGCTCGTCTGAGAAGTTCAAAGCTCCTGCACAGGCAGGGAGCTCAGCTGACTAGTGGGGAAGGGGGGGGGGGCATCCTCTCGCTGAGCAAGCAGCTTAAATGGGGCTGCTCCTGCTTGCAGGGGCGGATGAGGGTTGTGCGGGGCCCAGGGCAGCACAATTTCTTGGGGCCCCCCCTTTGACACAGTGCATGCACCATGGTGCCATGGCACATGCGCAGGGCCTCTTGAAGTGCGGGGCCCGGGGCTGTCGCCCTGGGTCGCTCTGCCCTATATCTGCCGCTGCCTACTTGAAATGGAGCAGCTCTTAGAGCAGGTAATAAAAAGTGAGATAAGGAGACAATAAGTAGCTGGGGAGGGAGGGAGGAGAAGAAGGGATGGAGGGAGTGAGTAATTGGCTGAGGCGGAGTCAGAGGGGAGGGGAAGTGCAGTTTGGAGAGTCCTATCTGTGCAGGGGAGAGAGAGGTAGGAATTTAGCCACTCTCGAGCTTCCTGGGAAGGGGGAGATAAGTGGCTGGCTGCATGGGGTGTGTGTCTGTGCCAGGACATTTGCATGATTATATTTCAAACAGAGTTTACATAGGTGTGAATGGCCTAAGGTAAGAAAGAAAAAGATTATTTTAACGGAATTTTTTGGTTGTTGCAGATTTCTAAAACTCTGATCTCAATGATTTTTTAAAATCCTGTGTTACTAATTAATACACGGTATATTATATTGAATTAAGGCCAGATCTTTGCTATGTGGTAGAGTTCTGGCTCTTAAGAGTTAGAAGTAACAATTACTAGGTATGATGTTAGTTGTTTTGTCAGCTTTTTGAAATATGTATCTGTGTACAAACCCGGAAGCCATGTATTAATTTGTTCTGGGGCCTCTACCTTTCAATCTACCCAAAAGAAAATTCAACCCATCCAAGGACAGAAAATGTTAGAGGGAACACTGGTACCCACATATATCAAATAACATATTACGTCTTGTACAGAATATGAGACTAAACTGTAGATGGAAGCTAATAGATTTTAAAGAATTCTGTTTAAAGAATCCACTAACATCTCTAAAGTAGAAAAAGGGTATATCTAGAAACCAGATAGTCAAATTCTGAAATTTAACTCTGCTGTAAGTTTGGGGGATATTTTATTATTTGGTAATTATAAGAGGCTTATAAAGCTTCTGAACTTCAGATTCATGCTACATTGTTTCTTTGCAGTTTTTAAGTTGTGTATAATTTTTTTTCACTAAATAGTTTAAGAAATGTCTATAGAGTAAAATATTAATTGTGAAGTACTTACAGGGGGACAGAAGAAGATGATCAAATCCAGTAAACATTTAGTTTATGTACCAAAATTACACCACAAATTTATAGGTTTGCTTTTATTAGTCATAAAATAACTATCTGGTATTAAGATTGTAATATCTTATTGTTGCATGATGTCATACTTCACTTGTTTGGTGAGTATCCAGCTAAGGACTAGACATTTTTTCAGTTCAGAGGTCAGTTGGGCAATTAACAGAAAGAAAACATACAATAATATCAGTGTTGAGGTGATATGTCTCAACAGCTAAAAATAAAATTTGGAAAGCATAGTTGGAGCGAAAAGTACAGGATGATGCTCTAGCATACTTTTTTCCTCTGGTAACTGAAGGTTAAGTGGGTAGCAAGCAGAATGCCTTAAACAAGATTGGTATATTGATTAAAACGCTGATTTAACAGCTCGCCTTCCCCCCTTGGAAACCTGGAAAAGATAAGCCAGCTGCTGTCTAAGAGTGCTGATTGTCCACCGAGAGTACACTATCTATCATCACAATATGGTGATGAGAGGTGTTTTATGTTTGTGTTAATTTCCCCCACTAAATCAGTAATTATTACAATCCTGTCCCTGCTGTTTACCCTGCAGCTGTTTTTCCATTTGTCGAGAGAGCGGGTGTTCTCTGAGGATCGCACACGCTTCTATGGTGCAGAAATTGTCTCTGCTTTGGACTATCTGCATTCTGGGAAGATTGTGTACCGTGATCTCAAGGTAAAAAAAAAACAACACAAGTAATCACATTTTTGTTTTTGCAAAGACTATTGGGACAAACTCAAAGTAATTATAAAGTTACACAGTTTTGAGAAAAGAAGAGTTAGTGTGGGAGGAATGGTTGTCTTTAGTTAAAATGCTACACATTAGACCACAAGGGTTAGAAACATATTAAAAATAAAAAGGAAAGAGCAAGCTAGAATTGTCATGCACAATTCTTCTGTAGTGGTGGAATCACAGAATACTTGGGGTCCTGATTACTATCTCCTTGGAGAATGCTAGAGATTCATTATTTGACTTGAATTCATGTAGTTCACAAATGTTGAATCCACATTTTCAGAATACATTTTCTCCTGAGAAAATTTAAGTTTTCCTATTCAGAAAAGTAATTTAGAAATATGTTTTGCTTGATTGCTATATGCTTGTGTATGTTATATATAATATTTATATAATAAATTTTCTATTGCTTTTAAAGTTGTAAGTCAGTGCACACAGACTTCTAGAGGACTAGTGTTAGTCATTACTGTAGACTAATTCACAGTAAGAATAGTACCTGTTTTCATTCTGATTTCTTAAATATTTGAAAATAGAATTCAAGTAAATTGTAGAAATTGAAGGTCATTCCGATGGTCCTGAGCTACTGGTATTGTACAGATAGAGGAAAGCTATAAAATGTTGCCCAACAATTCTATGATGAATGCAATGAGTTTTCTGAACACTATGTGAATCTTGCAAA